GCATGGATGGCACATAGATTTGTATCTTCAAATAGTGACACCAAATATGCCTCTGTGGCTTCTTGCAACGCTCCTATTGCGGTTGACTGGAAGCGCAGGTCGCTCTTATAATCCGATGCAATCTCCCGCACCAGTCGCTGGAATGGCAATTTTCGTATAAGTGGTTCTGTTGAGCCCTTTCTTGCACTCAACTTCTTGTTCACAGGCAGATGGGGTGTATAAATACCTGATACCTGCGGATCTCGCGGAGAGCAACAGTTCCTGGTTTCCAGCGACGAGGTTTCTTCACTGCATACATGTTAGCTCGATAGCAGGGACGCGAGTCGAAACTTGCCTCCACCGCTCGATACTTGCGGAAGTCTTTTGATTGATCCTCGTGTAATTGGCAGGCGAAGTGATTCACCGGGTCGCTGACGAGATGCTGTTGAAGAAGGAGGGCCGACTACCTGCCTTGATTTAGGAGCGTAGTTGAAGAAGATTACGGAGAACTGACCTTTTGTCTGGTACGCGCCATGTTGGTCCTCTGCTCAGAAATTAATAAGACGCACAAAAAGTCAGGAGAGGACTGGAGTATATATATTTTCCACTAAGACCTGCTGAGATTTATTCGGGTTTCCAGGTTGCTTAGGCTGGGTTTGTTCTGACTAGTTCACGTACAGTAGCATTGACTCATAAATCTTTTCCCCGAGATGTCACCCAATACTTGCCTAGATATGGTCCAATGCCATCAGGCAGCCGGTTCATGTGCGTTGCAAAAAGGCAAATGAGACACGTCAGAACACAAAAGTGTGCAAACTTAAGCATCTCAGACCAGACTCCAGTATTACCTTGATCCTAAAGATTACAGTACCAACATTTATGATATCTTCCCGTACCTGATGCTCCAACGATGAAAGGTCTCTTTCCTCACGGTGGTTCCTGATACCGAAGGTATCTCTAGGCATGCGGTATAATCCACAGTTTCCAGTGCAATTGGCGATACCTGAGATATGTGGGGCGTGAGAGTAATAAACGTTAGCTCGCCCGCCTTAGCAGGGCATTCTTTGCAAGCATAACTATTAACAATCATGACACCGAAATTCTTGATGACTGCGGCTATTCTGAGTTTCAACTGCGTAATTTTGATGGTCAATTTTGGGTATTTTCAGTTTTACGGACCGCACCAAACATTGACGCGCTTGCTACCGCAGTTGAATGCTTCATCTAGTCCCAGGATTGGAAAATGCACCGTACTTTACAACAGAGATAGCGCAAGCTACGACAAAGCACTCAGAAAGCATGCAGACCATTGCAACCTGCACGGATATGCCTTCCACCTCTTACACCACACAATGTTAGATGACGTCTGGACGAAGCCCGCTTATGTCCTGTCCCTAATTTTATCAGAACTGGAGAAGCCAACGGACGATAGGCTAGAATGGCTGATGTGGGTTGATGCGGATACAGTGGTCATGAATGCCCTTGTACCACTCTCAATATTCCTACCTCCAGCCGAAGAAGAGGAAATCAATTTCCTCGTGACGAGTGACTTCAATGGTCTGAACAACGGAGTGTTCTTCACAAGAGTCTCCGTGTTAAGCGTCGAACTGTTTTCTGCGATCGTCTCTTATCGGTATTACTATCCGCACGAAGATCTTATCTTCCGCGATCAGTCCGCTATGGGAAAAATTCTTAACGAGTCTAAATTCTCCAGCAAGACAAAATTTGTCCCTCAGCACTGGTTCAATGCATACAGCACTCCCACACCCGAACACTCCAACGATGATGGCAAAATTCGATATGGTGGATTTCTGGTTCATTTTGCAGGCACTGACAACCGAGAAAACAAGATGGAGCAGTGGCTCGCCCGTGCGGATGAAGAGTCTGAGCAATGGATGTTACCTATAAATAATACTTTCTATAAAGACGAGATTCCGCGTTTCTGGACATCACAATAGAGCTACGTGTAGGGGTTATGCAAGTATGGCTACTGAGAATGGCTGTTGGATTCACTGAAAGTGGCTCTCTCACAGGGTTCTGTTGTATCTGTCCCAATCCATATAAAGACGACATTGGTGTTTAGGCTCTTAGTTCGGCCCTTCATTGGGCCCATGCCATGAATTTATATACATTAGTTTTCTGCATGGATTGGTAGCTGCGGTATTCTCAGGCTGGTATTAGGATTCTTGAAGGCCAATACGAACTAAGAGGAGGATAGACGTAGAATGGAGCAAGCCACCGGCCATGCAAAGAAGACTGCCCATTTCACCATGGACAGAGTGAACGGCAAGATAGTCGTATCTGAGCCCAAGCAAATTAGGACGGAGAACTCGTGTACTGTGCGCCAGCGCCGTACGGCCATCTCTGTCGAGAGATGAAGACTGTGTACTGTACAGAAAAGATAGAAATTAAAACGATGGGGCAGCCTCTATTGACTCAATTGACTCACTGGAGGTAAGTACATAATGGCCCGTGGATTCAATGCACATTTAACTGTAAGTTGAGAGTCCGGAGACGCCTGTAGAATCCAGTAGATCAGTTGCTCCGAAAGCGGTCATGAAGCTCGCCCGCACCAAGTGACGGCCTAGCTCGGCATCTTGTGTTGCTATGAGCCTGGAAGACCGAAAGGTCTTCATATCTGCTCTCTTTATAAGCTAACTTTATCTAGCCCCCGACCTTGACTGAAGGGTCTAATAGCGAGGCTCTCTCATCTTGCTACCATCGTGTTCAAATCGTAAGTATCATTGTCCTCAAACATAACAGAACGCTTAGATTTTTCGGGTACCTGATACTCGTGCTCATGATATTGTACCTTGACGTCTTCCTGCTGGGCAACCGCTCGTCTCACGGCCGCCCTTGACCTTGCGTCAACACAAACTAATCGCCAAGTCAGAATTTTTGGGACTAGAAATTCTCTCTCTTACCTGATACCAATAGCTTTCCTCTCCCTTGACGATTGGTTTCCTGTTCTAGAACTTGTTCAAAGCGAGCCGGCAGAGCAATGAGTCTAACTAAATCATGTGTACCAGCAGTAAGAACCTCTCCCGAACCCAGTTTTATCGGCCTGCTGCTGCCGTCGGCAGGATGATAGCTGGCACTGCCAGGGCTGTGAATACATATTTCCAACATCTGTAAAAGTAAGGACATATCATTGAGCCTTGGTGCGTCGAACATACGAAAGATGTGTCGCTGGGAAGTAACCTGTCAAACCACTTCTTAACCCACTTGTCATGATCTGCATCTAGTTAGAGAGGTCTGCAATCAACAGGAGCGAAATTTTTACTGCTGTCTTTCACTTGCCACACAACCACCACCCGTTTGGTCCGAATCGACGCCTCTAATCGGCCCTGCATGAGCGTCTTCAAGTAAGGGAGGTGGGCCGCAATGCCAATGTCCGTGGCCAGCATCAGTATAGACCCGTAGTCTCCGAAGTTCTCAGATCGACCAAATGGGCGACTGACCCAAGTGACGTACTCATCATCACGGTGTGACAATAGTCGACGGGTGAAACCGTTTCTTTTCCGGACCAGCAGATCTAGTTTTGTCACCTTACCTACCGGATCGGTCTCCCACCAGACAATCCAGAACGGATGTCGTTGAAAAGTTGAGGGTAGCCCAAATCCCGGGAAAGTAACAAACAGGTATTGACCTGGTTGCACATTCCAGTGATGGTGAACCTCTATCTCAAGGTGGCATGCACCAGACATCACCACTTGCTCACCGCTCTCTGTTTGATAGACTGTGGTGATTTTTCCTCTGGGGAGCCAATTACCGCGACCGAAATTTATATTATAAAGGAGATCGACAAAGAGTTCGATGAGAAACCAGCTGGCCCAGAACCCAAGGCCTCCTAATACGTAGAAGCGAGCCTGAGATTGGCGAATCGAGAGATGGTGCCACAAAGCGATAGCAGCAGCACCCGTTGCTACGACATGCAGACACAAGAACAACTCGTAGAAATACCTTCTCACCCCGGGGACCGTCAATAGGGCCGCAGTTGCCAGTGCCCCGGATGCATACACGAATGGTCAGTTTTGTCTATCCTCCTTTCATTTTACCAGTATCGACTTACGATAGTGCCAGATATTTCGACAGCAGTCCATTTCAGGTCGGTAGTCAATGCGTTGATCACCACGTGAACGATGACTTCGAGTAGCATCACACAGCTGACCCAGCGATGTATGATCTTTGGTATACGAAAGGTCATTCCGAGAAAATCTGCTACGTCGCTAAGGTGCAAGCCCACCAGAAGAGGAACCAAGTTGATGGTGGCGAGATTTCCACATCGGGCGGCAACCTCGACTGAGTCTTTCGCATTTAGGCTTATGCATACTACATTAGCTGTGACATATCCAGCGACAAAGAGGAGGTCGAATTCGTCTATAGTTGTCCATGGCAAAGTACGCATGAGGGTTGCTGCAAGCCACTTGATACAGACCGCAGACCATGGTAAAAGCCAAACTCGGAGAATCACCCGCAGGAGCCGAAAAACCTGCCAGGCTACCGTTATGATAGCCGCAATGATGCCGTACCACTGAGTAACACTAGCATGAATTTCCATAATGCAGCAACAATTATCGTACAAGTAGCAAGGGAGGAAAAAATAATGCAACTGGCCCTCTTAACGCATATTTTGTTTTAGTGATTGTTTTATTATTATCGTACGTCTTTCGCTATGTCATGAGAGCCACAGCTAGCTGTGGGGCGCCAATAGCAGCCCTTTTCACAGGTGACTTGAAGATCGATGGAAATTTCAAAATCTTTCAGTATTCGACTGGTCAGGCTTTACTTCGTTACCAGACTACAAGGCAGCATTCGCCCAAAGGGGCCAATCGTCACGAAGCTTGGGCTCGTGGATTTCAAACTTCCATCAGCCGGTGCTCGAGAACAACAATGTGTGGAATTGGCGTCACCTTGAATGAACACAGAGCATAGCACAATGTTAAAGAAATACAGTAAAATCCACTAAAGACTGAACTTTAGTGATTGCACAGTAGTCACTGTACGCGTATGGCTTCCTGAAGATCCGGTACAACAAAATTCAACTGTGCTGGAGCACTGTACTGTACAGAAATTCCCGAAACCTGCCTACTGTACCCCCTGGCGGACATATATTGGACTCCTCCAACTCAAACCACGCTTACCTATGGGTCAGAGATGTCTAAATCGGGAATGCTCAGCTCCACTTTATCCACGAATCAGCCACAGATACCTTGTAAGGTGGTATTAGCGATACATCACTATATAAGTATTCGTAAAGCATATGGAAAAAGTTATAACTTATTAGGTGTATGAGAGGGTATTCCTAATACCGGCATGTAATACAGATACTAGCTATAGTAGAAAGTGTCCGCTTGGAGATCAGTTGATGCGTACGGAACTCGAACCTACTGCTCACTATAGTATGAAAGTCTCGCATCGATAGAATATCTATGAAACCGAAGAGATACAGTAGTCACTCCATCCTCCTTGACAGCGACAATAGATGTTCTTGACAAGCTGAAGCAATGGAATGATCAGCCCCTGAGACCCCTTTGTAGCCTTCCATCACACATTTATAGAGAATTAAGGCCTGCTCGAAATCTTGCCGGGTATCTAGCAGATACGCCAGGCTGTAGATGCTCGTTAACGTAACGGGATGATTCTCGGCCAGCTCCTTGTCGTAGCCCGCCAGAGCTCGTCGGGTTCTCGTCTCCGTCTCCTCGTACTTCCCTCGACACCGCAGCACAAACGCCATCAATACGAGACTTCGAGTGATTCTGCCTTTTCATCTCCATAAATCGCCGTGCGAATGTCGTAGGATTCCAAAAACAAGTTCCAATACCCCTGCATACTGCCCAGACAGCCACAAGAACACCGAAACGTGGTAATGGAGACGCCCTCGGCTTGCACTCGTCAGAACGCCTTGGCCTTGGTGTAGCAGTGCGGCCTGTGCGTGGGGAAGCAGCGTCTGGCGCACCGGCCAAGACCTGAACTGCTTGTTCCACGCTCGACTCCCTCTCCTTCTGCTGCTCCAGCCAGTACCGTACCGACTCCTGCACGAGAGGGTGGATGGAGATCGTCTCATCTGTCGCGGCCACCACTAAAGAATATCCCACTATCGTTCCTGGTGCCTGGCACCAGTAGGCTTCCAAGCTTTCTGTACCTTACACCAATGTCATCCGAATGACCTGCCCATCCAAAAAGACTGGAAGTGCGAGGAGTGTGGCAGCGGTGGGATCACGTTGTCGCATCTGGTCGAAGGACACTCTTCACGTTCGAAACACGGAGTTCCCGTCACATCCTTCTTCTGATGATGACAACACGACTGTCGTCAACGCCAATGACAGGACCGAAGGCTCGGTAGATGGAAGAGCCCTCCGAGAGCGTCTACAAGTCGAAACAAATTATCAAAAACACTCCAGATTCGACGATGCACGGCCATCACCCTCCCAGACGAGAGAAGAAGCCCATAGGCTGGATGATGAGCTTGCCATGCAAAGAGCTGAGCGCTTGACATCTTCTGAGTCAAGACAAACAGAAGACCGAAACTCAATGGCTCTGCTCGCGCTCGCCGAGGATCCTGCAGTTCGACGCTTACTCACCAGCTTGAAAGATCCTCAGGCAGTCCGCAAACCGTTATCATGTTCCGATTTACGAAGGCGGCCACTTGTGTGATCGCCGAAGGTATGTATGCACGCCAGTGCGGAGAACCAACGATCTGCCTTAGCCGCCGAGAGTTGAAACTAGCTAGTGGAAACGGGACCGCCCAAATGCTTGGCGACCAGGCAGCAGCCGGACACGTTAATTTTCTCTCGGCAACGACAAGCAGCACATGCCCGATGGCGTAGCTGCAGGCAAGCCAGCTTGGTAGATAATCGTCCTGAGGTCGTGATTGTTGTCTCCTCAACGGAACACATCGTCATGGTAAAACGAAAGCGAACGCAAGCGACCTCCTCGGTGTTGTGTGCGAGCTGTACATCATCACGGATAAGCAAGAACGGCATACAACAGTGGCGGATCCAGTTTCATCCGGATGTTGTGCGCGAATACAGGTACTGCACAACGATCGCCTGATCTGGACAAGAAAACGTATGCCACCGGTGCGCATGGGGGAGATTCACGAGTGTATCGAGCACGTCCGCTCGCAACAACAATGCCCTCGCTTCCATTCCATCAAATTTGCCTATAACGGTCAGATTTTCAAGGTCAAGCTGATGTGAGAAGTTCACAGCTCTGCATACCGTCAGCCTCAGATATTCAACTGGACATAATACTGGATGTAACACCTGCGCGAGGCTTGATCTTATGAAGGGACGACCCTCTTGACATGTGTGTCTCGTGTTCATCTCTATCGTTTGAATACCTAGCTTCAGTCTATCATTCAATGTGGCGCGCTCCTACAATCCACCTTTTCCCGGTCTGGTGGACGATTCCCCGCGAACAACGAGCGTTTCTGCTGGTGGCGGTGGAAGAATGTATATTCAGCTTCGGCTGGTGGTTCCCTACGGGCTGTGCTGGTACGAGTTTCTCACCCGGTTGGGTCGGCTTATAATAATAAAGGATGGGAGATAGATAACCATGTTCACACGGGGCGGGTAGAATGGTCGAATACTAAGGAGCGAGACAATTCTTACGCATTATGGAACGGGACCGGCTTGTGCTCGATGTGGCCGGAGTCATGACGGAGGCTGTATTTTCTGCTATGTTTTAAGTGGAAATCTTGATCTGAAGAAGTAATCGCGATTGGTGCACCATCAATGGAACAGCATTGCAAGTTGACCTAGCGAGTTGCGTTCTCTCGCCAGTGGCTCGATAATTTGCATTTTGTGATTCAGGTGGAACCCCGTTTCGCAAATATCTGTATCGAGAAACACTATACGGAGTACAGTACTCATTCATAGATCTGTATACGAATTCTTTCTGCTCCTTGCTAGGTTTTACGCTTTGTCGTACACATCCGAATTCCTTGCCACGTTTTACGTACGTTTGTATGCTTCTGTAACAAGGCCACCGTAATACAAGACATTCATCGCTGATTCGCGGGTAAGATGTATCTGCCGAACCCGGCTCTGGTCAAGCATGACCCATAAGTAACCGAGGTTCGATGTTAGAGAAATTCTGTATGTCTGCAGCGGGGTAGGCAGGTTTCGGGAAGGTCGGTACTGTAAAATCCTGAAAGTCTCGGATAGCAAGATCGGCGCACCACCACAGGCCTATATGGGTCCACATTGGCCAACAGTTGTCTGAAACCGTGCTCGAACCTATCATGGCTACAGTTAGCGATGCCATTCCATGCCGAACATCGAGGTTGCTATGTAAGAAAGAAAAGAAAGTCGCCAACGCCACAGAAAGTAGAGGCACCAGCGATATCCTGTCATAGACCTCGAAAACGGGTGGTCTGTTCATCGCACCAGGCACTAGGGGCACTAGGGGCATTTGCCCGGTTGCAAGGCCACTTCTCAACCCCACTGCATTTCGATTGGAGTATTTGTATCACCATTTAGCCATGCCATCTAGATAGACTGTATTTTCTCATTTGGGGCTAGGGCACGCCAGCCGAGGATTGATACCCAGGCATGCAAAACCTGGTTCCACCCTAAACATCAGAAATTAGTATATTCTCGGCTGTGGAAACTAAGCAAGGATGATCATTCGCTGCACGTCGCGGTGGTGGAGAGCTGATAGCCAACTACGTCTGACTTAGAATTCGGGTTATAGGATATAACGTTGCTATGTATTATTGCTACTGTATAGTCGGATGGGATTAACGTTTTGAGCAAAAGTTAGTCACCACATCTAAGTAGGATTCATGTCGTAATGCTGACATTAAAATGAACATTGAATACTGTACTGGCATGGAATTCCATATAGCTATACAGTAGTCAGCAAAGGAGCTATAATGACTGCCCTTTTATCTGGCCGAAGCGAAAGAACGCGAGTCATTGCATAATGGTGGACACGTTGTTAACACACCCTCTTCAGAATATTGCTGTTCGAGCCCTACTAGCCGTCTTTCAGAGCCTTGCGATCATATGCTGGCATTAATTGACCGTATGTGTCGGTGGGTCAACAATACTCCTAAGGCCCCACGACAATCTATGTTTTGTGCTGCGACATGTTCCTGGGAGCTACTTTGGTTTGTGCTGGGCATCGAATTAGCTCCCAGGATTCCCAAGTCCGTTCCTGGGCATCAGCTTCCGTGAGGCAGGACTATTGAAACACGCTCTGGGAACTCTTATAGCTCCCAGGCATGGCCAAGGACGCTCCCAGGCGCTCAAGTCTTTCCATGATAAGTCATGGGATCAAGTATGAACTATAAGAGTAGTGGTCGCTACATGGAGCAGGTACAATACAGTGGTTGTTGTAAATATGTGCGATGGCATCTCAAGCCTCCGCTACTGCGTACGATCGTTTAATCTGCTCCTTACAAGATCACGCTAAGTTGGGAGTCTACCGCATTCGGCTGGACAATATTGAACACCCTCGGATCCCTCAGAACCGGTTACCGAACGTCAGACGGCTCAAGGAAACCTTCCTCATCCAAAAATGCTTGCGCCATAATCCGCAGAACTACATCACGGCGACAATCCCGCACGACGTATTTGCGCACCGCAGCTCGGTCAAGCAGGCAAGTGACGGGGTGGATGAACTGTTACTTCGCGCAGAGGACAAAGTCTATTGTTTGCATGGATCCTGCCGAATTCAGGCCGCAAAAACAGTCCTGCGTGACGGAGATCGTTGGTGGACAGTTACGCTTTATAAAGAAAACATTGGTGAGATCCCGAGGTAGATTCGTGAGAACGTGTTAACATCCTATTAGATACGAGGGCAAATAAGAATCTTCGCGACGCATTCGCCAATCAGTTGTCACCTCTTGACGGCACGATATATGTAAACTTACAGAGGAGTCTACAAAACAATGACTTGGCCGAGACGGAACAATGGCGCGCATACTTGACCACCAGCAAGAGACGCTATCTTCGTCAATTATCCAACACTCATGGAGGCGTCATAGATGCTTTTAACCAGTTATTGTTTATGGAACCCTTGTTCCTAGGAAAGCAGGCATTTCACATTGGCGTTTTCCACAAATTGGGTAATCTT